TCTATCTATCTATCTATCTATCTATCTATCTATCTATCTATCTATCTATCTAATCTATCTAATTGTTCAGAAACTCACTAAACTTCCCCTTATTCTCCATTATTGGAAATAAACCCAGGAAAAACTTGATGTTCAAAGCTATCTCTCCCTTGCAGAAATGGAGCAATATAACGTATGTTGCTTTGAATTATTTACAAAAATAATAAAGGCAGAGATTAAAACAAACAAAGAAACCAACCAGTTGAATGTTTGGAAGACGATGGAAAAAGTCAGAAAACAGCAAAGGCAAACAGCGGAAAAGTTATTATTATGGTGGGTTGCACAGTCAGCTAGACATTTAAGCTGTTGTTTTTAATATTATAGAGAATAAATAATATATAACATATATAATATAAATATTATATATTAAGAAGCTGTGGTGCTTCATCACTGGAGGTTTTTAAGAGACTGAACAGTCAGTTGTCTGACTGGACTAGAAGACCTCAAAGGTCCCTTCCAACTCTATTATTCTGTTTTGTACAGAGAAAGATCTCATACTGGCCGGACAAAATGGTGTGGACATGGCCAGATACTAAAAAAAATGTCATTTAATTTTAATCATTATTCTACATACTTTTACACATGCTATATTCCGATGACCTATTTTATATCTAGGTTTTTTAGAAGAGGCTGGACAGTCACTTGTTTGAAATGGTATAGGGCCATGATGGCGAAACTCTGTGCCCCAGTTCAGCTCCACTGCGCATGCATGCGTGCCTCCCACCAGCCAGCTGATTTTCTGGTGTCTGCTGCACATGCCTGGGTGCGAGGAGCATTTGGGACGTGGATGTGCATGCACTGGGGCTGCACGTGCATGTGTGGGAGGGACGGGGGCTGTGCGCGCATACCCAGGGGTTGCATGTGTATGCACGGGGGTGGGCTGTCACACACACATGCACAGGGAGCGGGGTGGAGCATAGGGGGGGCGTTTTTGGTCCCAGGAGGCTGCAGGAAGGCCTACTAGACCCAAAATGGGGCATGGGGGGAGCGGAGGGTCACGTATATGCAAGGGGGGGAGCGCTGGGAGGGTCGTGTCGCATGTGCACTGCATTATGGGTGTGGGTGCACTTTCGGCATGCGACAACAAAAAGGTTAGCCATCACTGGTATAGGGTCTCCTGCTTGAGCTGGGGGCTGGACTAGAAGACCACCAAGGTCCCTTCCAGCTCTATTTTCTGATATTAATCCACCTACTAAGTCCTTCCCAAGGAACTGGGAGAGGCCAATGTTTGGCGGCATTAAAGGGTATTGTTGTAGGATGTAGGCTCTTCCAAATACTGAATGCCACACTTGGAATACGGCATTCAGTTTTGGTCACCACGATGTAGAAAAGATGTGGAGACTCTAGAAAGAGTGCAGAGAAGAGCAACAAAGAGGA